GGGTGTCTGCTTTTTTTAATTTTGACAAATGAATCCTCACAAAACTAAATTAAATTAGGCGCTAATTGCCATTGGACAATTTTTAAAGTTCTGGACGAGATTTTGCCCATCATCCGCCTCGCCTATCAGATCATCGAAGCCACCGCACCGGAAAAGGGAGGGGATACCAATTACTGGTCCTCCCTCTCTCCGCCCTCCCTCCCGTCCGGTTTACCGGTCAGGATAGGCAAGTTCACGCTTTGTGACCGTATATCATGGCCAAATGGTTTAATTTGGTCAAGCTCCTCCCCATTTGCTGCCCTTTCTCCGTTGCTTACTGAATTACCATCACAGTTGGTCTGTAATTAGATGAAATGACGGACACACAACTCCCATTTTAAGCAATCCAGAAGTCTTTATTTTGTGGAACTACCTTGCAGTTACTTAAGCCCTCTAGATTTAATAGTCCATTTTACCATTCCTTTTTTGAATGTCTTCTTTGGTTCTTTTGGCTCTAGCGGGTGTTCATTCATCAAATCAAAAGGAAAGGCACTTCAGACAGCTCGTAACATCAGGGAAGCGTGTACTGCACACTGGTCTATTGTTTGAGGAATCCCATATTAAGCTGGCAAGATCAGATAAACAAAAGGTTCGTGATGTTTTTAATATGAAGCGTAAGTATGCGGCTGTCTCGCCATACCCCTGTTGTTTTCTGTACTATTTTCGGAAGACTCTTTGGTGGATGTCTCCAGTTTCCCACGATATGGTGTAAGGCTCCACTTACAGCACCTACGCTGCTGTTGCTACAGTTTTTTTGCAGGTATTTGGTAATAAAACCCCCTCGAGATTGGCAATATTTGGTAATGTCCTCAAAAGTAACTTTAGCGAGGCGGGATGTAAGCCTACACATTTACCCCTAGGAAAGAACGCGCCACCCTAACCGATACTTCAAAGAAGTCTTGATTACAACCCAAAAAGTCGTGAAAGAAGAGCCGACTTTACTAAGGCTCACCAGAGAAGGGGCGTAGACTCGTGTAGTCTGTAACGAAGTGTGATCTGCATGGAGTGGCTGTTGAGAGGGGGGAAGAATTCCCTTAAGATTAAAATGGTATCGAAAGGTGGACAAGGAATGAAATCAGGGGCGAGTACCACTTCACTTCATTCCTTCCCTGGAGTGACCATGGTTAATTAAAATAGATGACTTAAATAGCTTCTAGTCGCTATAATGGGCTGACTTAGCCGAGCTTTCAATACAACCCTTGATCATATTTGAACTCCAAGATAAAACATTGGCGCTCACCAATGGTGAAAGCGAAAATTTGTAAGGTTATCGACATCTCTTTTATTAACTTAACTGTAATGCTTTGACCGTTTGTTTATCTCTTCGTTTTGGTTCGCGGGCACTTAAGGCATCGCTTTTGTACTTTCGCTGAGTGGCGTGGCCTTCGAACCGGGTCAGTAGTTCTCCCCAGCCCTTCTATACGTAGATGGTAGATATTCTACACTAGTATTATGCCTTCCTTCGGCTTCAGGGAAGTCCTCCAGACTCCACATCAGTGGCAGCAGAAAGCAAACCCAACCCTAAAAGACAGGCACCCAAATTTTTATTTAAGGATGCTAAATCTTAAAGTGATATAAGAATGGCATCTGCTGCAGATGGGAGAATCTGTGTAGATCTCTAACAGAAGGGTTAAGGATGACTTACGTCTTTTATCAACTGCTTCAGTTTCGTGTTCTGCAAGAATCCTATCAGTAATTGGGTCGACATTAGCCGTAAACTATCTGGAAATGTCCGTTACGGAGATGTTTATGGTACCTGCAGGAAGATATCAATTAAGTGAACACGATATAGTTTCTCCTCTATCTTCCTACTAGCTTTACAGAACCAGGATAGATAGACGGGTGGCTGGGCAGTACAGTGGGGGGAACAACGTGGCACCGCAAAACTATTTTAAATTTCATTCTTCATTAAGTGACTCTGGTTTTAAGTCGATGTGCTTGCGACGAGTGGTGAAAGTGAGTGATAGCCGGCGCATTCTTCCTCTCCCAATACAGTTGCCGAACAGGGCGATGCACCAGATGCAGCGAAATTGTGAAGAGGGTTCGGTGACGTTGCGGTCAAATGTTGTCTCGGTTGTACGCAAATTCGATGACTTGCTAGGTTAATTCGCGGGTGTTTTGTTTCAGCACCGACTGCGTTGTGATCGTGGTTGTGGGAGATTAACCTTGGGGAACGCCTGAGACGATGCTCTAAAGAATAGGGGGCACTTAAGCCTTCGCGGATTGTACTTCCTCCCTTCTGCACATCAGAAATGTGACTTCCGCAATGCTCTTTTGGCTTAACCGACTTCAGGGGAGAGTTGGAGGGTTGCAAAAGCGTGAATAATATTTTTGTTGACGCTATTGTTCAAATTTGGCTAAAACTCCCCTATTGTATATTTCTGTCCAATCTGTTTAAAGAGGCTAAATTTGTGGGAAAAGTGAATGTTTCTTTTTCTGAAATGGCGAATACCAGCATCTGACACCAGTAGTGATTAGAGCGCTTCCAGTCTTGTGACATTTGAAGAAAAATTTTGACTAATTTAAGTGAGTTTCCAAACCCTGATGGTTTCACAATACACTGAACCACTGATTATTAGGTCCAATCAGATTGTAGAACCTCAACCTTACAGTATAGGAGAGAAGCCACAAAGGCATTTTGAGGTTTCCCCCTGTAGCTCGTCCAGACTCCCCTGAGGAAGAAAGAAGACATAATATTGGAGCAGAATATGTGTTGTCGACACACGGAAGGGCTTGGGGGCACTAGCGCTGCCCGGAGGCCATGCTGGCCAGCAGAGGTACAAATGCGGCGACCTAAAGCGGCCCGATACCAAAACCGAGCATTAAACACACAATCAAAGTTATGCTCTCTTATTTTTAAATATTCAGTCTTCTCCAAATGAACCACTCAGCGGATAAAAAGATAAGAAATATTATGTAGGAATTAATATCTACTAGATTGAGTTTAAAAAGAGCGCAATGATCTTCCAGTTAGTTAGTCTGTTTGAAAGCATCAACTTCAGTCTGAAGGATCGACTCTACTCCGAAGCAATGCACATCCAAGGCATGATAACCAATCTTCCGAGGTGATACTACGACTGTGATTAAAGAGCTTGTAAATTATCACCTTCATTTTTGTAAACAGCAATTAAATGATTATTTACGATGAATAGTATACCACAGATCATGAAGACTGTGTTGTAAAATTATGCTTCAGCCTCCACAAATAGCCCTTTCACCCCGGTGGCGTGGCCTTGAGGTCATTGTCAGGGCCTCTAGGTTCCTCTGCACAGCAATCGTAACCAAGTATTCTATGAAGACTTTCTTAGATGGCCTCAATATAGATTCAGAGCACCACGCTGGTTTCATCAGTAGGCGAACCTGCTCCCAAGTAAGACCAATTCCGAGTTGCTTGACTGGTTACCAACCTGAAACGTGAAGAGGAAAGTCATCCACTATGGGTGGGTAAAATTTGCTCAGTTTAGGGCCTATTTCTCGCAAATATTCGATTTCGGACACGATTAGGTTCCGATAATTTAGATTCGTCCTCAAAACAAATGCATCCGGCTTAATACCGAGTGCAATGATTAACGTCTTAGACGAGAAATAACAGCATTTGTTCTCATCACAGATTTCCAAGAAACTCGCCCAGTCTCCACCACAATCTACCAAACGAATTGTTCTCCGTTAAATTTCGTCATTCAGAGGAAAAGATATTCAACAATGCTAAAACCGATCTGTAGCATTCCTCCTATAGTGCAAGTTCCTTGTGCCAAGCGTGTCCTACCTCACGATTCCTTGCGCTTCATGGCTAAAATAAAAGGGGAATCAACGTGAGTACCATCCATGGTGCTCAAATGGATGTTGTCAATACATGTACTGCCATGCTAATTTGGCTTACAGTGACTTCGGGTAAGACAAGGGACGCTACACCAACGCTTGGCAGCTTTCAAATCAGCAAGCCTAATAACAGTCATGAAAATGGCCAAGCAAATTAAGCAAAACTAGCGATTACCGTGTTTCTGGGGGAACTAAAACACTAATAATAAAAAAAAACAAGAAGACGTTTCTCTAATATATGAACGATAAAACCATATGCTAGTGAGGAAATTATAGGAGTACTTAAAAATTGGCGATACTGGAAAACGACTCAGTGAAGGATTGTTAGGCATTTGCTAGGAGTTTCTAAAATAGCTTTTCTAACACAGACCATTATGCTTATTTAATGTGCTTCGTTAAGCTCTGTGCAAAAAGAGTTGCGATTGCATTACAAGGTACTTCCAAGCGTCCATCCATTGAAGGTTGAGACTTGGGTAGTTTTATTGACTACTACGTGTCTTCTCACGACTTCTAGGAAGATTTGATACGCTACAGAAACGCATTGGAGTGCAACTCTTAGATATGAGTTAGTTAAGCCTCATGGTCAAAGACAAAAAAGCCTTCGAAACCACGTTATATGCTCGACTCATTCACACAGGCAGCCAAATCAAGCAATTAAATTATGATATCAAAACAACTGACAGAGATATTAACTAGAGAAAAGGATTGATTCAGACGCTGTAAATAACGGCGAATGGAAAATGGGTATCAGATTCTCAATGATAATTTCTTGTTTCTCTAAAATAAACCAGGATGTTATCGTAAACTTGGGAAGAGTCCATTTGGGTTGGTTTAAACTATTTAATAAATTAGCACTTAGTATTGCAACTTGTGCGAGTAAATTTCAAAAAAATTAAATGAAACTTTTCAGTGGGAATGTTGGTACCCATCGTATGCTTCAGTGAGATAGTAAGTCGTTACTGTAAATGTATTCCAGTGAAATAGTAACGAACCTGGAGCAGTAAAACAACCATTTTGTCAAAAGATTATAAGCAAAGTGCATTAATCGTGTAAATTGCAAAGTTTACAGTCTTTAGGCCTTTAAACCAAACGTGAATATATTCCTTGTTTAATTATACGCCCTGATAGGTGACGCTCTTAAAATGGCAGAGCCAACCGATGGTCAACTAAACGCCGCCATAAAGGGTATGCTTTCTTCCCAAATATTTTGTACTTTTTATTTGCAGAAATCCTTAAGGATGCCGACTTATCTGTTGTTACTGCCAAAACGGTCCGGAAGACTCTAGAAGACCGGTTCAACATTGATCTGTTTGACCGAAAGGCTAGCATTGATAAGATGATAATGAAGGTTTTGGAGTCTCGTGAGGGCAAATCAACTGGTTCTATTAGTAATTCCATTACTCTCGCAATTAATTGATAGGTGGGTCTGAATCTGGTAACGAAAGTGAAAGCTCTCTTGATGGATCAGTTTCTCCTAAGCGCCGGAAAACCTCTGATGACAAATATGCTCGTGCCGTCCATGCTGAGGAAAATGGGATGAGACGCCGCAAAGCTGCTCGTATGTACTGATTTCTCCATCATATACTCTTTCCAGCGAAGCCGAAGCAGGAACGTACATCTAAAAGTGGTGGTAAAGGTGGCGGTGGTGGTTTTACAAAACCTGTCACACTTTCTGATGAACTGGCCGCGCACCTTGGTGAAACCGCTCTCTCTAGGGCCGAGCTTGTGAAGCGGTTCTGGCAGGAGGCTAGAGAAAAACAACTTTTCGTACGCTTTTTATGAAAAGCTGTCTTATCTCATTATTCTTTAGGATCCCGAAAATAAGCAATTCGTCATCTGCGACGAGAGCTGGAAGAAACTGTTCGGGAAGAGTCGGTTTAAGATGTTTGGCATATCGAAGTTGTTGAACCAACACATTGTTAAATAAGATTTTTATTGCATTAATAAATTTTTTGTGCGTCTTCATGTAATTTGTTTTTTTTTGCTGGTGGTTGATTAGCCTAGATTTTTTAGTGCAGCATTTGAAGGAATTTGGGGCGGTTTCTTCCCTAATTTGCAATCGGGTCCCTCATACCCGTGCTCGCCCGTGGCTTATCTCGTGTCTTCGCTGTGGCTGTCATCCGGTGAAACGTGAAGTTATTCCGTCTCATTGGGGAACGGAGCTCTTCGTTGAGGCGATGGGACTTTCCAATCCCAAGGAGGAGTTTGGGATCTTTGTGCCTGTGAATAATCCACGTAGGTAGCACTTAGTGTTGTCATTTCGCCATTGGAGAATGTGAACTTTTTTCGGCTAATTCAGTGCCTATTTTGAAGCTTGATTGCGTTCATTCGGTGTTCGCCTACTACTAATGCGAAATTTCAGACAGTCTATACAGTCCGTGATTTTAACCTCACACATTAAGTTTGACTATTAACAATATTAAAAGTAGAACCTACGGTCAGCCGAAGGTCACCTACATAGATTAGTCAGGTTATATCTGAACGGTTTGGCGATGCTACTTCCCTCGGGGTTTCCTCTTTCCTAATCGGGCGGGCTCGTACATACTTTCCGTAGCGTCACAGACGGTCCAAGCACCATGATGGTGGGTGAGTTAGCAGAACTAACGTGTAGCCAGCTGAAAGGAGTTATGGGGTAAATTAAATTTCCAGGTGGTTACTTTTCTTTTTTTTTCCCGAAAAGTGATACATCATAGCACTTTTGTGCTGATGGTCTGCACTACAAATCGGTCATTTAGACTGGGGAATTGGAAAATATCGAACAGAATATATCCGAGCCCCCAACAGTAGGGAAGAGGAAGTCGATCAGGGCTAAAATTTTGTAGAAAAAGTCTGACATTTAAAGCATGTCAAATCGGATTGGCTTATCTTCCTAGAAAATTTTGTGTGACTCATCATTCGCCAGCTTTGTCACTCTTGAAAGGCAAATTGCGACTATCGTGTGTTAGTTTGAAAGATCTCGCTACTTTTTGCATAAGTCCGGAACTTATTTTAAGCTGCAAAAGAACGGCAACTACCCTACTTATTTCTGCATCCACGAAAGCGATTTCTCTAGCCCCCATAAAATATCCTTCTATCTCGGCCTCTCTCTGTCCGGCAGCAATCCGTCTCCTCGCATACTGGTACAGCTTGTAACAACTTCACGGCACACTCGAGATGCCACAAAGTAATCAGAGACGCCTAAGGCAATCTTCCTTCTCACTCGGTGTGAACAAGTACAATCATTCCATGTGAGGTCAAAAAAAGCATTGAGTCAAAGAAGTAAGTGCTGATGAAGCTCGAATTTGCTCCATTGCTGTCCGCACATCGAATCCCAGCCAATGCTATCCCGAGATAACCGCCCCAATTTTCATTTTGTAGACCAACACCTGCAGGCTCCATTTATTTTCAAAGTCGCTTCTGTCTTGAAAACACCGAAACTGAAACTATGGGGGATAAATCATGATCCCAAATCAATAGCGCTTCTGAAGGTCGAAGGAGCTATGCCCACACATGGCACCCAGAGCCTTCCAGTGGATGGCAATAAGTCATACCACTGCAGGCGATTTGTAATTAGCGCACAGAACGGCGGAAAGACTAGAGGCAGGGCTTTCTGACCAGGCTCCCGAAACGGAAGCACACTGCGAGGGGGCCAAGGAGCCCATGCAGTTGGAACTTGCACCAAAACAAATACCAAGGCATCACACATGCGTGCGAGATAAAAGTAGGAGGTAGATGGTGGCGAATTCCCCACCAGAACGGACCTCGGCACGTCGTATAGACCAAGTAAAATTTACCTTAAATGAATTAATGAACTCTGTTTACTGTTTGGCCGAAAAAGTCCCTCAAAGTAGAACTTTTGTAGGTTTCTAAAGAATTGAAAGACTTGCCGAAAATCCCAAATGAACCTGGCAATTTGTTGATAACCTGACAGTTGAGGTCACAGGAGGTGTATGAAGCACGCCCTCTAATACTGAGGGCAGGCTATCTAGAATCGCTAAAAAGGGAACCCAACTTACAGTCCACACTTACGAAGTTTGTGACCAAGACAGCTTCAGCCATTACTGACAGAAAGTTTTGGTGCTTGTTTACCCCCACATTGATGCAAAAATGCAAAAAAATGCAAACAACCGGATATTTAACTCCGAAGTAGACAGGATTAGATTGGCAACCCAAAGCGATACCAAATTCGTTAGAAGCTTACAAAATTGTACATTTTGGCAGGGTAAAAATACACAGGCTGCAGGAGAATAATTTGGCATAGTTTATCCACTAGACACAGAGGGTGGATCGTGATCTTGAAATTTGCGTCTAATTGCGGTAACCACTTGAAGACGCAGAGGGGACGGCGAGGCCTCCGCACTGCAACTGTTTGTGGACGTCTCGGGGGTCAAGGAGGCTTCAGCAGCGTCAAGAAGACGCCCGAAAGAACCGTCCTTTACGAAAACGTGCTGAACGCATTGTTCACTGACGTGCTTCAGTCCGGCCAGGTACTCCAACAGATTCCATATACGCTCGCTGAAGGGTAAAAGTAATTCTTTCCCAAGTGGCTGTCTCCAGTCTCCATGAGTCAGTGTCCAGACCGACAATAAGAGCCTTGTCCGCTTCCTAGTCCTTACTTACGCTTGTAATGAAACTCTTTCTCGAATATTTTATGCCGTCTTCGGTGATAACGAATGCACTACGATGGTGAGAAAGTTGGTAAGATCACTCTGGAAAAAAATTCCAAATTCAGTAACCAAAAATTGGCCCGAAATGTCACGCAAGAAAAGCATCTTTTATGTATGGCTGTCTACATAGACCCACGGTTGAAAAATTATAAAAGCCGTATTGTCACCATTTGAGAGAACCAGGTTTGAACAAACGAAGTCGTCAAAAGAAGGGAAAGATCATGACCAGGACCTGTAGGCCCAATGTTTCCTGGTTTTCACTGAGGTCAATAAAATGGAAAGAAGAGAACTGCTTATGGAACTTGAGAGGCAATAAAGTGCAAAGGAGTGTTTGTAATGAAACTTAGTTCCGTAAAAAACCCCTTTATATTGTGTGCTTTACGGATTCGTATTGATTTCATGCAGAATGTACGATAAGATAAATTAGCATATGGAGTGAGTTCGCCACAAAACGCTTCGTAGCCTTAGGCGTCGCTTTCCAAGTAACCCCACCCTTTAACCTTAACCATATTATCGAAATATACAACCACAAAGGGAAAGAGTTTTGTCACTGTAAAGCCAATTTATTGCACCACCTCATTTCCATCTTTTGGCTAATTCTAATTCAGCTGAAGGCGCGTGATAGCAAAATTAGAAGTGATCACGCCTTGCGCCTGGTAAGGCCCAAGAATATGATGAGAGCTGTGCAATAGAATCGTTTTGGTTTTGGTGCCATATCTGACTACGCAAGTCTTTGTAGGCTCTCGTCAATCAATCACCACGCCGCCACTAGTCTCTCACTTCCTCTCTGTGTCGATAACGAACCCGTTCCCGGATTTATATGCCTTGCACAGTCCTCGGCCATAACTTGGATACTGCATGATACTTGAATGATGAAAATGATGTGACACCGATAGCAACCAAAAAACGGGCAGGCATAGCCATTTGGTATGAAGAAGTTCATATTTAAACCGACAAATCGAAAAACCTTCCCGAGAAATTGTATCAACAACAGAAACTAGCAAAGTTGCAATTCCAAATGCATGTTTCTGAACAGAGGGGCCATCATCTACTTATAACAGTATAAGTAAAAGTAATTTTTAATCACAAAACTCACGTCATCACTTCGGGATCAGTGCGCCAGCATGCGCACAGCACCTCTACCGCAGCCACATCAGAGACACGCACTGCAGAGTTAGCCACAGGTCCACGAGAGATCATCAGCAAATCGGTAGCGCATGCAAGAGCACGTTCGTTTTCCTCCCTCTGTGCCACAGTTAGTTGCCCATCTGTCCCAGTGTTGAAGGCAGTAGGATGGAGGGCCATGCGAACCAGAGCAGTAAGCTCGGCGGTGGAGAGAGGAGCGATGAAAATGGTCGAGGTGGTAGCAGCAATACGCGCCTCCTCGCAACGCAATAGTTCCATGAATACTGCCGCTGCCCGGTGCGCAGCCCGACTGCCCGCCTCGGGAATAGCTCGCAGCGCGGGACGGCTATGCAAGGGGGACAAGCGCACTTCACACCAGGGATCTGTTAGGATAAAAAAAAACGCTGCTGACGATAACTTTAGTACACACGCCAAGAACGATTTGCATCATTTTGAAATCCTAGTACGCGATGTCCCCACAAATTCTTCACGAAATGCATTGGCGCTCGGAACGCTAAAGACGAGAAAAGGGGTGTCAATTATCCCCCCTTGTCAGGCAAGCCAGACAGCCTTGTGATCCAGTACAAGAGTTATTGCCTTGGCGCGAGGATAGCTGCGAAGGCCATACGCATATTATATCGAAGAGGCAAAAACAACGTTCCAGGATACTGGGCACCGTGGTTCGGTGTTTTAGCACTAGGGGGCGGCCAGTCGACCACAACAACGACATGAGTGTTGGAAATATCTATTCTCTGGTAAAGCGTAGCACAGGATGAGAAATATCATGATCTGGGGGAACGCGAGTATGAGAATAACAATACATTAAAAGAGTCGACCGCTTTACCCTATAAGATGGTTCAACGGCATCAAACATTCGCTCGCAATAATAACCACGCCAAAGCAATGGCTCATACCGACAAAAGAGAATGCCATTAGACTGTCGGAGATGTGCACAGGCAGTCGTCGCGGCAGTTTCGTAGTGATCGCCACAAAATCAAAAATCATCTCTCCCAGCACCTCATAGGCCAGTGAAGCCGAGGCCTCAAAAGCCTCTAGCGTCTCCCTATCAACTTCCTTTGCTTCCGCCCCGCCTTGTTTTAGCCTTTCAAACGTCTCCTCCCATCTCGCTGTCACACTCTTCAATCGACGAATGAGTGCCTTGTAGACGCCCTGATCGGCGTGAAAAATCTGTCGGTGGTGGCGGTAAAGATCACGTAACTCATTGACCTCACCACCTCCATGTAATAACTTCGTCAAGAGGTATCGCGAGTAGAAGTTCCTTTCCTCCAAACTATTTCGCAGTAGGAAGCGTCGATCACCACACCGAGTATGTAGAAGGTCATAGACTCGTTGAACCAACTGGAGGGAGGAAGCAGACGAAGAGTCCACACTGGCACAGGTCATGGCAGTGTTGACAAAATCGTAGTCTTCTGTGCTAGCAAAGATGTCCGCTCGACTTATCTCCTCCCAACAGCGGGTCTCAAGATCGGCTAGGACGTCTGCCAGCAGTTCAGTCAGGCGGTAGCCTCTTCCGGATTGTGCAAGGCGTGATGTGAGCACGGTACGAAGGAGGTTGGCGTAGAGACCCAGAGTGGGTTGAATACCTAGACGACGAGCCTCACATAGTAGTCCAAGCGCCTTGTCTACATAGTCCAGAGATTTACCGCCTCTTAATGCATTGGTATTACTCTTGTAGAGAGAAAAAAGGGCGAACGTGAAAGTAGTGGCGTTGGGAGGTAACTTTGCTTTCCGAAGAAGTTCAAAACCTTGGCAGAGACGGAGCCACACATCATCACTGTTGGAGCATTCATGCGCGCAGCGTAGGAGGTCATTGTACACGGGAAGAGGAAGTTTGTGGGACGCGGCAACAGCTTCTTCAGCTAATTCCCAGGCCCTGTCAGCCGCACCAAAACGAGCCGCGCCGCGGATCATGGCCGCATAGGCGGCAGAAGAGCGAAGAACGTTGCTGTGAGCCGCCCAGAGCTGTTCAGCCGGACAGCCTTTGTGCCAAGAAGAAGGTTCAGCTGATGACACCTCTTCTGCGTCGAATTTCGTCTTTTGCAAATCATCTTTTTCCGGCTCTTCCCCATTTTCAACCTCCTCTTCGGTTTCCAATTCTTCCAAACTGGCGATAGGAGTTTCCGAAATTTTGGAAACTCTCTGAGCTTCCAACACGCGATTCTCCGCCGCGTAGAACAGTTCCTCCGGCTCAGGGAGAGATCCACGATCAGTAAAAGGGAGATTTTCGAAGAAGTCAGGACCCCCCAGACCGCTGTTCGTGGCGCATTGCAAATCAAGGAGTCGATGAAGCGTATTCGCGTCCCACTTCTAAATGCACAAATCAGAGGGCTTTGCTTAGACCTTTTGTTATAGAGGTCAAGTTAAGGTCAGTTTGGGTTAGTTCAGGTCAGGGGTGTATTCACGTCGATGACGATTTATGGGTGAGGATTTAACAACGACATCAGCACTCGCATGTTCAATTTGAAGAAAAAAAACCTGGGCATTATCCTATTATTTCGTATAATCCAATCATAAAATGTCAGTTGAGTTGGAGATATGGAGTTAGAGGTTCTCTACCCCACAAACCGTGGCACAGTAGTTCCAACAGTTTGATTTTGGCAAGGAATCACCCAAAAATAGATAAAACATGATTCTTAGAGGATCACATTAAAATAGATCTAGACAAATGTGTCAAAACTTCCGGCTAACTTTTACGCGAGTGATGGAACGATTCGTTTACACTTACACAAGTAGAATGATCGCAATGGATGTTAAGCAGGTGACCCGCCGTTCACAGACATCAAATCGATGGCAAAAGACTTCAGAGACCATCATTTTGTTCTGCACTTTTTGCACGCACTTTGTTTGCCGGCCTTATTATGATAAGACATGACTTTTGCATTGCAACGCTAAGCTAAGCTAAGAAACGGACCATTTGCCAGGCCCAAATGATTCATTCCCTGACCCACACCTCTGAGGCACAACTTTATGCCTCGGTAATTATGTTTGTGTGGTGCACCGGAGGTGGAACTGTTGGCGTACTGCAGACTAAACAGCAACTGTGATGGGGATCAATCTACCCAATGCAATACAGCTCAAATGAATGCAAGAAAAACCTTGGAGGCAGATGTAGGTAGCCAAACATTTGAGAGAATGTCCTAATAAACACCACCGAAAAGTTTACCTGAGCTAATACAAGGGGGAGGAGGAGAGATGCTGCCTCTCCGCATTTACCTGACGCTGTCGGCCTAAGCTCGGGGTGTTCATTACCCCTCTCCTGGCATGTGAAATAGAGGATGCCCTTGAAAGGAGCCACTTTTTGCAATGCGCAGAGAATTTTACTAGATAACGGGAACCTCAAGTACAAACTCCCAATGTGAACGGAAGGCTTATTAAAAGCACAAATTCATTTCCATCAGAGGATACTTCAGCATAAAAGCATTAATGACTGAACCTTCAAGTTTCACAATGACTGAGTGACAACCGGAGCGCCCCTCCCCCCCCCCCCTGCCTGGCCAACTGCCATCCTAACCACAAGAAATTAAAAGAAAAACGAAAACCACGAGGTGAAGTCAAAAGGATACCGATTAAAGGTGTAAAAGAAACAAGTTGACTGTGGGTTGGAAAATCGTCCATGGTCCGATACAAGCTAGAATGGGGAATGTAATACAAATCTACGTTTTTATCACACCAACCCTTCTCCCTCTTTCTCATAAATTGCAAGGATGCAACAGTACTAAAACAGGTCACGACCTCGTTTCTTTGATGGTAGATACTAGCACACTTCCTGACTACAGAAACACCGCTAAGCTCACCGTATTCCCAGCATCTTTGTAGAGCTCCCAGGCGTCCTTGGGAGCAAGGAGGAGGAGGAGACGCTCCATCGCCTCCTGTTGGGAGATGGCACCCTCCGCAAGTTCTTTGCGAATCGACTCACCCGTCTGCAGCGGCATGAGACAGTCTATTCGCGGTGTCTAATAACAAGTCACAAGCGTCTAAACAACTTTTGTAAGGAGGGGCTATTTTAGAAAAGAAATGCGTCATTACGACGAAGCCAATGGACAGCGGCAAGCTAGTTCTGCGTTTAGAATTTTGCAAAACACAGTAAAACTCGGCGACAGAGACTTGTTCCTACCAATTCAAATTCACGCCTTTGAATAACAATTCTTGTTGAACTGGAATTCCATGCTGCGGCTTTGGGTCAAACATGGTGTTTTAACTTCAGAGGCATTTTTGTGGTGGCACTACACTCCGTAGTGGGCGCCGGGTTTCATATTACTGGTAACCAATTCGGATACCGTTAATCCAAGCGACAGGTCGCGGTGATGGTATGTGTCTGCACTAAGTGCCACGTGGTGATGAAGCTCTTATCTCCCGTCTTGAATAGCAATATTTACAGAGAACCTCAAACACGCTGCAATAAGGTGATAGAACACTCATCAAATTGGTGGTAAGATGTCTGAATGATCCAAGCCTTTCAAAGACGCCTGTGAGCACCTCTGTACATTAGTGACGAGTCTAATGGTGGTGGTGGTACCATGGGAGGCATTTCTTTGAACATTCAGCCAGCGTGTGAAGAGTCTGATCGGGGCATAACCAATCAACGTACTGCGTGTATCATAACGCAAGGGATAGGCTATCTTGGGATGGTTTTTTCCCACCAACAGATTGTCCCGCGCAGAAACTACCTTTGATGCATGAGAACATATGGCTGGAAATGCAGCAAACAGAGGGGAAAAATAAATGGAGTTCACACTCCTTGAAATACACACTTTTCCCAGGTAAACGTCAAAGTTCCGGTTTGATTTGAACGTGTTTTGTAAATTCAGCCAAGATACAAGAAGGTTTGAACTGTGAAGAAGAGTGTTTTTAGACTACAATGAGAGCATAAAGGGGAGAGGATGATGTATCAGAGAACTCAAACTTACTTTTTGTATCTAAACCATCAAATACAGAATGTTATACTTTATCAAGTGGTACAGCCCGCTGGAGATTTCGCACCAGCTCTGTGACATTCTTGTGATTACTGCGATGGAGCCTTGTTAATCCTACTCCAAACTGCTTTTACCTCTTCAATCAACGCATCATAAAGCTGCTTATTGAAGGATTCCTTCACGAGGTAATCAATCATCGCGTACATTACGTTGAAGCCCCATTACTTTAGGTGTTTTTTAATTCTCATATAAGCTACAGGTAACATACCAACGAGAGCGACAGACTTGAGGTGTAGTTCCAACAAAAAAGGTTCAAAAAGTGAATGTTTGGGTGGGTCCCAACATAGGAACGGAATGAGAAACTACCAGGGAAGAAACGACCTTTTCAACACTTGCTGTCAAAACACGCAGTCCTTTTCGTCAAATCAGACTGTCACATGGAAAATCGTTAGGGTGGTTGAGATTTCTCGAAAAAAAAGACATCAAAGTCTCACAGTCATTGGATTACCCTCTGTGAATCGCAAACACCATCACCCACCGCTCACGTACTCTCCCAACTTTTTTTTAAGGAGTAAGCAAAACCGAAGCCGACACTTTGTTTATGTGGATTGGTAGTACTTGACGCGATATTGACATTGAGGAGGAAGGGTTGAGAATTTGACAGAGACACCTACAAAATGACACACCTGAAATGTCAAAATCTTTTTCTTCTGAGAAAAATAACCATGCACGCGATAAACGTGCAGACCAACTTATCAGCAGATCAAATTAGGAATGCAATGTTTGATGAGATGTTAAAATATGTCTTCCATAAGATTGGAAGAATGCAATATGATATGTTAACTACGGACTCCCCAGTCTTCACCCGTTTCGATAACCTTAGAGAACCATTGAACTCTAAGAACATGACATTTCCCCTAAACGACTTTTGAAAGAGTGCTACCACGAAAGCCGGTTGACACCTCCTGAACCAGTCTTCGTATGATACAGTTCGCCTTGCAGAGGACGCGATACTCAGGAAACCTAATCACTGCACGCACCGTCGTTACTGCCTCAAGACCGATTAAAATCCACAGGAAGGCTTATTCAGGTGAGTCGGAAGTGACCATGAAGAGCAACGAGGTCCACTCCATCTCCACGTCGTTGTCTATCATTGCCGGGCAATAATAGAAATCTACTTCCCCACTGGCATGCCTCATTAAACCCGCAGAGATGACCCGGGGGACTACAAGTAGGCGTGTTCCTTTTCCTTGCTTACGCGTGTCGAGCATATAAAGTACGATGCTATTTCGTTCTGGATGTTCACTGAATTTGGGTATGGTTGAAAGTAAGCATGAATCACCAACCGGTAGGACCCTACTGAGCACTAAATGTTCGGCAAGTTTAAGCGGTTTTGGTTGCTGACCATCCTTCCTAGGCCTGACCTTTAAACGTAATTCTTACGAAACTGGAGGTAAGTAAATGCTCGAATAGGCGGAAGTTTAGAGATTTAGCGATTTTGTGCTTGCATCGGAAAAGCCGAGAGCAAGAAAAAAAGCAATACACAGCCTTGTCTAAGTATAAGACCACTTCTAAATGACAAATGATTGTTTTGCCATACGCTTGATATTGTGGATAGGAGATGCCCCCTGAGAGTACAAATTTGTTGCCATATGTATCGAGTTCTACCGTCCAAAATCTCTTATGAGTCAGGAAAAAATTATGCTAATGTACCACAGGCATAGCGCTCCAACATTCAAATGGCTGCAGTAGATTCAACCACGAAAAACAACGAAAGCACCTCTGGTTCGACTTCAGTAAAGTGCAAATGAGATGAAAATGTAAACTTACATTTCAAACGGTTGTACTTAGCGCTAAAGATGGAACCGGATAACTGAATGGGAATAAACAAAAGTACAAAGTTTGGTCAGTGTCCATCCCACCACACAGCGCTAGATATTCAGTGAAGATACAGGGAGATACAAGTGGAGAAGTAGCCCCATTGCAGTAAAAGAGCCTCAAAATTTGGAAGGCTTGCCACCCAACACCCATTATACTCAGAATAGACACTCGATGAAATGAGAGCGCACTGACTTAACCGCATTCCTGCTTAAGCCACCAACAAAACCGGGTAGAAGCATTAACAAGCAAGACAGAATCAATAATCTAGAAGAGGTTACAGAAATGCAAAGAAAATGGAAAAGATCCGTTGACGTACTAAATGGAAACCAAAATCCAGAATTAACCGGAACCCCAATTCTTCCTTCCACACAGTTGTGTGAAAAGCTTATAACAACGCAAAATTTAGCATTCGGAAAAGTATGAAATACAGTGAGGTGAAAGTACACTTCTGTCTCGATAAAAGAGTCCTGAAATCCCTATTTTAGTACATCCCCAGTCGAGTCCTCAGTACAACTAAGTAGAAGTATTATCGCACAGACCAGAACCAAAACGAGGAATAGAGAAGAGGACCTTATGCTTGTACAGGACATTCATCCCAGACATACAAAAAGCAACCAAATGCTTAGTGAAAGGCTGAAGTAAAAGGCAACCGCAATTCACCCCTTACACGTCCTCGGCTCACCCATCGACACAGAACACAGTAACCCACCTCCGTGGCTAAAGCCGTAAGATCATTAGCAAGGTATCTGCGAGCCACATGGCGGGCGGCATTGCGCCCCGCGGAGAGGGCCAAGCGATTTGATCGTTGGCGCAGGCCAGGGGCACCGAGCCAAGGCTCGAGGGCACAGCCGTAGGCGGGCAGACCGAGGTGGGGAGTAACACAGCTTGCCAGCGCGCGCAGCACCGACACCGCATCTCGATGGCGCCGACGCGGTGGGGCGACCGTCTCCACCGCCACTGATTGTACAGTCCTTGGCGTCTCTGCTACCGACGCTGTGGTACGAAATGTGAGAAGAGCGAGGGTCTTGACTCGTGGCAGCACCTAATAGAGAAAGAGCGCGTAAAACAAGGTCTTAAATGGGAAAGAAGGTGAGGAAGGAGATTCCGGTCCTTATCCATTAGTCAAAAAGCGTAAGCCATGCGTCGAGGCAGAACGTTAAACCGTCTTCTGCCACTGGTCATAAATTGTGGCAGTGAAACTAGTAAATATGAAAGGGGTACTCTCAACTCATTAAGGTTTCATTTTCTAACAGAACAGGCCTTTCAAACTGTCAGTCAAGCCCGTTACCTCAATGCTTTTAACTCGGAAAACCCACCCATCACGAGATAATGACGGATTCCCACCTTTTAACTCCTATGCAATCTTCAAATTATCACACGATCGGATCCTTCAATGTAAGCAAAAAGAGAAGTGATTGTTAGTTCAGTTGTTTTGTCTAGTTGGTTGGGGCCAAAGAAGAAAAAATAATCTCTCGTTGAAAGCAAGAACTTTGCATCACCAGAACACTATGAGCAATAGACATTCGAGATGAGTAGGCACCTCGAGTTAACTTCGAAATTGACCCACAACAGTGACCCGTAAGGACATGAATAGAGCATTTCAAGGAGTAGTGTAAACGCTGACCTGCCTACCACGATAAGTAAAAGCACAATTCAAGTATGCGATATTCCCATCTCGAGAGCAAACTAGACCAAAATCCCTCTTCCGCTTTCATTGTGGCGTCGCGGGTAGCTTCCACTCAGTTTCTACTGAAAGAAAACGTTTTGGAACAATCCCCGACCTCAATCAAGTTATGGGTTGTGAGGCCTAGGAAACACATTAAATTCACTCTGATACCGCAGGAGCACAACCCTAACCGATTTCACTAAACACATTAAACAACGTTGGGAAATTTACAGTGGAGGACCATCAGCCCTTGGATCCCCTTGGTGCCTCAAAACACATACGAACCCATCAGTCAGCCAAGCCCGACGTCTTGTCAGTGAATGAAACCCACGAAAAGGGTGAGATAAACCACCAAGTCTAACCGATTCCGTAACTTCATGAGTGCGCATCCCATGCAACACCACATAAAGGCACTTACACGACCATCACATAAAGAGGAGTCGATCCGTTGGTTTAGAATTAAAGGGAGTGATCGTAGTTAAGTACCAAGCTTAGCTACTTCGATTCGCAGATAAGCAGTCATTTTATGTTACAGCTGTCAAGTTTTTTAGACTTCTAGCGGTTTTAAATTCGTCTCGTAAAGTAACCCAAAGGCTACAGGATTAATCTGTTATTTCCCGGATTATGCTAAACAGAAGAGACTATTATTCTGCTGTGAAGAGCGGAAAACGTGAGGATCCATAACAGAAGGGCTTACCTATTCCGTGGTCAATAATGAAATGAGGGAACAGCAAATAACACATGACGAAGTGGCAATAAACTTCTGGGTGGTGCCAAAGTAGGCGAATATCAGAAAAAATATGGGCCTTTTTTTTCAGAAAGTGATCTTACGAACTATGACGGGCATGCAGATCGCCTCCGCCGAATCATGCTGCAATGCAGCCCACCTAACAGGTAAGGTGATAGATGAGCCCCATCCAAAGCCCGTGAGACATACCGCCACCAGGCAAATCAGGAACCCTCTTTCTGCGGCGCAAGTACATTATATCACCTCCCTCCTATCTCCATGAGGGGATAAATAAAATGCTTCATATCCTCTTCAATTAATACGGCAGGAAAAAGGCGGGTAAAAGTCGACTGCACCCAAATCGTGACATCTATTCAAGCATGAAACAAGCTAAAGATGCCTAGTGAAACCAAAACTAAGTGAGGAGACGTCTGTGTACTTAATTGCGACGAAAACAGTCCAGCCAAAAAGCAGACACTCGTCCAAACAACATAAGAAGGAATTAGCTCTCCGAACATGAAACCTCACACGATGAATAGGGTAGGTCTACGTACTCAGCGAAGAGGTTCAACCAGATGGGTTCAAAACAAACCATTTAAATAGAAGACCCGATATTCAGGTGAAAAAGTCTTTTGTAACGGACTAATTAAGGGAAGACAACAAGTCAGTCTGGAGCAGATAACTCATCAAAACGAATTAGGCGGACAACTGGCCTAATTGGTCAGAAAAATAAGCTACGAGTCATGCGAATCTTTAAAGTAAAAGGAAGTATGAAATGGAATCGAATTGGACCAAACCAATTGGAGGCATAAATACCAAAACTCTCAAACTAAGCAGCAGAAACTGCGCAATCAAACTTCCAGTGCCAAAAAATACAAAGGACGATCGGATCAATGCAGTAGTCTACGTCTGCACACTGCAGACGGTTGTTGAGTCCCGGACCCCAGAGGTGCTAGGCATGCCTCAGCAAGACCTTGCTCCCTCTCACATAGGTTGCACGCCCCAGAAATGAATGGTCAAAAGCCCACGCAATCGTGTTATGCCTTGGTTTTCTTCATTTTGACTTTAAGACGTGAGTGAGAAGATCACCAACAGGCATATCTACGATACCAAAGACAAACAATGAATAAAGAAAAATACTTACACTCTTAAATTCAAGCAAGCGCTTAAGTCGTGCCTCAGCACGTAAACAGACACCACAGACAAAAGACGTGGTCACTTGTACATCTACTTCATTTGGCATTTTTGACTAATTTAAAAGGAGCACACACAGCAGGAAAAGAGTAGGACATGGAGGGGTTAGATCAGGTCAAGAGAGACATCCAAATAAAGTTGAAGGGATGGTCAAGGCAAAGAGCTAAACACAGAAATATGGAGGGGAAAGGGAGGGTTTGTTGAGAGGGACCACAAGGGCAAGAGCAGGATGGAAAAAATGCTGAAATTTGAAGACTATGGGGGGATATGTAGACGTCTTCAAACCCGAGCACTGCGCAGGATCATTGAAGTGACAGAAGCGCGGTTAAAGCGTCGTTGGGACCTCGCCGACAAGGTCGTGGAGGAGAGTGTACGATGCCGTGGAAGAGACTGACGCAACGACTTGACGGAGGTAGTAGCTTTGGTGTTTCGGTTACGGGTAGAAGAGGAAGGAATGGTGTTGGTGGCGGTGGTCGCTAGAATGGGTGAACCGCGCGAACGCAGGCTTCGAAGCCCTATGGGGGAGGTGCGCCGCTGGCTCGGCGCCGATTTGCGATCTGCAAGAAGGTAGACATTGACGTTGCAACTCCAGACACCGACTGTACATGACACTGATAAGCCTTCTAGCTTTCCTACAGAACCCGTATAAGTGTAGCAAAATGAACTTGTTCACCTTCTCTTATAATAAATGTCACTCTCAAGCTCGTATCTCTTCAGGGATAGCCCAAACGCTGAAATTATGGTAGCGCCATCGAAAATGCTCCAAGACAGAAAAATTCGATTGTGCTGGCTGGATAAGATGGAGAATGCTAATATGAGCTTTTAGTTGCAGATGACTGAGCCTATGCAGATTCAAAACGGGGGAGGTGCTGAAAACGCATGGACCTTTGGCGACCACCTCGACCTCGAGCTCTGCATCGTGGTCGAGAATGGAGCGAAACTACACTTAAACAACTTGAAATCCAAAGTAAAAGGACTCGATACTTCTCTAACTTGTCAGAAACTGAAAATAAACCAAGTAGACTGTTGGACATCATTGAAGCGGCTGCGCAGTGAACACACCATGATCCGTTGGAAATGATCCATGTGTCGAGCACTGCTCAGCAAATGAAGGTGTAACATAGCTAGTAAGGACCACGAATCTGAGTCCACAGAAATAAATTGGAAGCATGACTAATGTTGGGATTGAAAGTCAATTCATATTGAAAAACCATCAAAAGTTTTCACTTTGGTCTTACAGAAAACTCAATAGCTGTTACGAAGTTCGACGCACCGAGAACGAGGCCCAAAATAGGAAAGATTGAATAGCGGAATGAATCGGCTTCCACAGAGTCACTAGACTTTTATCCGCCCGTTTGCTGATAATAAAGCTGCTTGTGAACGTGTACGCCTTCCACGGTCTCCGCGTTAGGACAGTAGCGCGGCAAAACAGTTTCCACAAACAGCATTACACTGTGTTGGGTTCTATGCGGGGTGAAAAACTGGGCCCCAAAAACACTATTTTCTCACACCATATTACGTCGCGCATGAAAATCCAAACCATTTAATTACTTTGAAAGTGTGTGCTAAAGCCTCAATGAAGACGGATACGATATCTAAGACAGACACAACGCCGTGTAATAAAAAGCACTTATAAGTGGAAGACGCGAGCTACTTGATCGAATAAATTTTTGACAAAGCCAGACTGAAGTTTTGGACCTAAGACAGACGACAAAAGAGGTATACAACTTTCTCTCGATTTTTTCATCATATCGGAACTGAAATGGCAAACTGACTAAATGTCACCACATCCACCATTGTCACAATCAGCTCTCGACCATTTCCAAGTCAAATCAAGACTGGTACCATTTACGGCTGTAAAAAGATGTGCTATCGTGACGCCACAAAATGCTGCGGCAAGCATCAAGCGTGCCAGCCAAGGCACCGTCGCTCAAGGTAGCAAACAACAGTAAGTGAGTACGTGCATGGAGTACGGTGTGATGGAATCTCATGTCATGAACACCAATATTTGCAGAAGACTTCAAGCATATTGCGGTACACTTCTAGGATACTCAGCAATTGCAATGAAATGATGCAGTCG